CAAGGTGCCTGAAGGGTGGTGGGTCTAGAAAGAACATGGGAATTTGGGCCACTTCTCCATAGTCTAACTATGCAGTTCTTCCATTGGTTGGTCCTTAATTGTATCCTTTATAACAAACTAGTATTAATAACTAATATATACGTGTGTGTGTGTGTGTGTGTGTGTGTGTGTGTGTGTATTTTAGTTCTGTGATTTTTTTCCTTCCAGAAAATTATGAAATCCAAGGAAGGGGAAATCATGGAAAATCCCCCATTTATAACTAGGTAGTCAAAAGTACACTCTGTTGTGGTGGTATTGTGTTCCCCAAAATATTGTGTACTCTAATAAATTTATCTGGGGTCAGAGAACAGACAGCCACTAGATACAAAGGCTAGGAAATGGTGGCACTCACACCTTTAATCCTAGCATTCCAGAGATAGAAATCCCTCTGGATCTCTGTGAGTTCAAGGCCACATTGGAAATAGCCAAGCATGGTGACACACGCCTTTAATCCCAGAAAGCCAGCCTTTAATCCCAGGGAGTGGTGGTAGAAAGCAGGCAGACAGATATATAAGGCGTGAGGACGAGAAACTAGGAGATTTTGGCTGGTTAAGCATTCAGGCTTTTGAGCAGTAATTGAGCTGAGACCCATTCCGGATGAGGACTCAGAGGCCTCCAGTCTGAGGAGACAAGACCAGCTGAGGATCCGGCCCAGGTGAGATAGCTGTAGCTTGTTCTGTCTCTCTGATCTACCGGCATGGACCCCAATAACTCGCCTCAGGTTTGATTTTATTAATAAGAACTTTTAAGGTTCCTTCTACACTCTGTAGCTTGGAACTTAGGAGTAGTATCTGAAGTGGAGACAGACATCTATTGAACTCTTAACCTTTGAAATCCACCTGCTGGGGAAGGTGCGGCAGTACCAGAATTGAACTGATTTGTAGAGCACTCAATGGTTGTCCAGACAGTTGGAGAATGGGTTAAATAGATGTAGGGGGATGCCTCACATAGTGGATTAGTAAAAGATGCAAATAAAATGAACATTGGGAGCTGGGTGTTTAGCTTAGTGGCACTGTTTCTTCACAGTATGGGAGATACTGGGTTCTATTTTCAGCTCCACAAAAGAGCATGAAAATTTCATTTTATAACTGGGTGGTGTTGGGACACACACCTTTAATCTCAGCATGTGAGAGGCAGAGGCAGGCAGATCTCTGTGAATTTGAGGCCAGTCTGGTCTACAGAGCTATTTCTAGGACAGGCAAGGCTACACAAAGAAACCCTGTCTTAAAAAGAAAAGAAAAGAAACAAAATAATTCCATCTTATTTCAAGCCTTTTCTTATCAGCCTTTGCTTCAGTGGTGGTATCTGTGTCCAGGGTTAGGCTTATTGGCATGGACGTAATTATTTGGATGATGGAAAAGGCAGGTGGTTTCCTATGACACTGTAATTTACCTTGTCACAGGTCTTCGAGTGTGCAGTAGTCTAGTCTGATGAATGAGAGCAAACTGCTGTGGTCACTCTGTGGTTCTGCTGTAACTTCTGAGCAGGGAGATGGCTGCCGAGGTCTTTCACATTTGTTGATGTAGAATGATAACAAACTTTCTGTTTGAACAACTTTATTAGTTGACATGTTCACCCTTCCCAAAGAAGTGGCTTTAGCTTACTTATAAACTTTTATTACATTTTATTGTGTGTGTACTTTGGTGTGTGCTTGACAGTCAGAGGACAGCTTGTCAGAGTCAGATCCTACTTATCAAAGTTGGGTCTTCAGGCTTAGCAGAAAGCACCTTTCCCTACAGAGCCATCTTGCCAGGCCTAGATTGTTCTAATTGGTAGTATTCTCTTTCATGTGTCTGCTTTGTGTTGTGAATCTCATGTTATCTGCTTTATGTAAAATTCTCATAGTGATGTTCCAAATAGGTATTTAAAGTGGTGTTGGTTTTTTTTTTTGGTTTTTTTTTTTTTTTTTATCTGAAACACAGGCCTTCTAGTTTGGAAGTGGCAGAAACTCATCTGTTTTTTGTAAAGTTTTTGCTGTTCACCCTCTCTTAGTTAGAATTACTATTGTTGTGATGAAACATCATGACCCAAAAGGCAAGTCAGGGAGGAAAGGTTTATTTGGCTTACACTTTAACATTGCTGTTCATCACTGGACGAAGTCAGGACCAGAACTCAAACAGGGCAGGATCCTGGAGGCAGGAGCTGATGCAGAGGCCATGGAGGGTGCTGCTTACTGGCTTGTTCCTTATGGCTTGCTCAGCCTGCTTTCTTATAGAACCCAGGACCACCAGCCCAGGGATGGCACCATCCACTGGGCCCTCCCCCACTGATCACTAATTAAGAAAATGCTCTTAGGCTTGCCTATAGCCCGATGTTATGGAGGCATTTTCTCAATTTCGGCTCCCTCCTCTCAGGTGACTTTAGCTAGTATCAAGTTGACATAAAATTATCCAGCACACACACTATTCTCTTTAGAGACAGATGACTAAGGATTGGAAGTCCTCGCCTTTGGAAAATTTGTCACCCAAATGGGATTTTTAAAAATTCCACATACATACAAAGAAGATATATACAGGACAAATGAAACATAAAATTGTAAGTTATGGTCCTGGGTATTGAGACTCTACAGTCCCAGAAAGGCTATTTGAAACTGGGCGTCTGTAAGTAGGATGGTGGCTATAATGAGAATCTGTTTAAAATTAAGTGATTCTGGATTTTCTGAGCAGGAACACTGCCTTAGAACCAGGAACATCATTGTTATCAAAGAACCGGGGCAGCTTGTGCAGCATTTTTATTTTTATGATTTTAGATTTGTTTTATGTGTATGGGTGTTTTGCTTGCACGCATGTCTTGTACCGTGTGCATGCAGTGTGGTGGAGGGCAGAAGAGGTCTCGGAGTCCCTGGAATGGGAGTGTATTGAGAGTCGTGAGCTGCTCTGCTGTGGATATCACTCTATATAAATAAAACACTGATGGCCAGTGACCAGGCAGGAAGTATAGGCGGGACAAAGAGAGAGGAGAATTGGGAAAACAGAAAGAAGGAGGGAGAGACACTGCAGCCACCGCCAGGACAAGCAACATGTAAAGACGCCGGTAAGCCACCAGCCATGTGACAAGGTATAGATTTATAGAAATGGGTTAATTTAAGATATAAGAACAGTTAGCAAGAAGCCTGCCACGGCCATACAGTTTATAAGTAATATAACTGTCTGAGTGATTATTTTATATGTGGATTGTGGGACTGCGGGGATTGGTGAAACCTGGAGAAAAGCTCTCCAGCAATAAATGGCGCCCAAGGGCTCACATTTCCACCTTAAACACTGCTCTATGGGAACAGGAAACCAAGCCTAGGTCCTTTGCAAGAGCAGCAAGTGCCCTTAACCACTGAGCTCTCCCCAGCCCCATAAAATTACAGCTTTTTAAAGTGATTGTATAAATATTTAAATACCCTTGACTAATTGAATTAAATGATGTGTTTGTCTTGAGTCCAAACAGTGTTTTAGTTGATTGGTTGTATTCACATTTGTTTTAGAAAGGTATTTGTGAAATGGAACCTTCTAGATATTGAGTTACTCAAAGTCTAGTAGGCAGATTCTACAGCAGGGTGGCTGAGTGTATACCTTGCTAAGATTTAAACACTGCACAGGGCTCATGGTGTAACCTCCCCCCCCCCCCCCCCCGCCACTACTCATACACATAAAAAATTCTTAAAGATTTTAAGTAGGGCATGATGGTGCATGCCTTTAGTACTAACACTCAGAAGGCAGAGGCAGGTGGATCTGTGTGAGTTCAAGGCTAGTCTGTCCGTGTAGGGTGTTCAGACCAGCCAGGGATACACAGTGAGGCCCTGTTCTGTGGAACCCAGTTCCAATGGATACATCTACAAAATAACTCCCATACCTAAGGCTCAGGGAACATTTCAGAGCAGGGGATCGAAAGATTGTCAGAGCCAGAGGATCAGGGAGTTTGCTGTGAGACTGTGTCCCTAGGAATGTCAGAAGCTCCACCTACAAAGTCTCATTGACATGACTGTCTAAACAAGGACAGCAGCAGTAGACAAGCCTAAGTGGGTAGTGAGAAGCCAGGAGGCCTCAACCCTACACAAAGATCTACAGGCAACTCGGAGAGATGCTCAGAGTGGGAGAGAGAGTCTGCAGGGAAGAGCATGCCAACTGGCTATCTAGTGTCAGACATCAGCCAACCCTGAAAACCTAACAAACATGTGCCGTTACAGAGACTGAGCAGGTTGTACTTAAGAACGGAGATGTATGTATACATACACACACATGCGTGTAACAACAATGAAAAAAGAGGCTGCCTAGTCAGGGTTACTATTGCTGTGATGACACACCATGACCATAACAACTTGGGGAGGAATTTATAGGCTTACACTTCAGCATTGCTGTTCATCACTGAAGGAAGTCAAAGCAGGAACCTGGAGGCAGGAGCTGATGCAGAGGCTGTGGAGGGGCACTGCTTACTGGCTTGCTCCTCATGGCTTGCTCAACCTGCTTTATTATAGAACCCAGGATCACCAGCCTAGGAATTGCACCATCCACAGTGGTCTGGGCCCTCCCACATCAATCACTAATTAAGATAGTGCCCTACAGACTTGCCTACAGCCTGATCTTATGGAGTCTCATTTGTTTGTTTGCTTATTCATTTTTCAAGATAAGGTTTCTCTGTGTAGTAGCCCTGGCTGCCCTGAAACTTGCTCTGTAGACCAGGCTGGCCTTGAACTCACAGAGGTCTGCCTATTTCTGCTTCCTGAGTGCTGGAATTAAAGGCGTGCACCACTACCTCCTTCTGGAGTCATTGTCTTAATTAAGACTCCCTCCTCTTTGATGACTTTAGTCTCTAAGTTGTCACTAGCCAGCACTTTGGCCATGAATTTGAAAGAAATCAAGAAGTACAAGGGGGGTTTGAAGGGTAGGAAGGGAGGGGATGATGTAATTATAATCTCAAAAGAAGGAAACTTTAAGGAAGTTAAAGACTACAAAATGAAAAGGTGAATACTTTTATAATTCACATATTGAACTGAGCACTGGAAAAAGGCCTAGTCTGAGCTGAAATGTGCTATAAATATGGTCACCTTGAGTTATGAAATCATCTATGTTGCTGGGTACAAGGTGCATTTTCTTATGGAGATTATGTTGTGTATGGTAGGTTCACTTAGAGCAGCGAGTTGATCCTTGAGAACTGATGTTGCAGCAGGAATGCCTCCCTCTAACTAGGGAATGGTCACGATTGGAGAGTGGTTTGCACTCATGGTAGCCATTGGCGATTGGTGTCCCTGGCTGTGGTAGAAATCCTTGGAGACACTTGCTGTCACATTCCCATTCCTCATGGAGGGCTGGTCTGGCTCCTTCTAGTTTGGTCCTTGTACCATGTGCAGTTTTTCTCACAGATCTGTACATTCAGAAAGAAGAATCATGAGAAGGAGATTGCAAGTCCTGGTAGTATTCAGGGACCCTGCCAGGCGGTCATCTCTAACCACACAGGACATGAATGATTGGCTTGTCTAAGAAAGAACTGCCTCTAACGTGCACTACACAGGCCATGCAGTTGGAGGGCCTGAAGACTACATTTTAGCCCAGCTCTGAGAACTAATTAGCTGGAACTTTGGACAAGCATCTGAACCCCTTTGCCTTTTCTTCATGTCTTAGAAGGAAGCAAGGAGGAAAAGGTTGTGTTAGCTAGCTTCTGTCTGTCTCTTCTGAAGAGCAAGGGAAAGCTTTTAGCTGCAGGACTGACTGTATGATTGCACAGAGCAGGTTTTGTTTCTAACCCTGAGAAAGCCCTTTCTCTGTCTTAACACCCATCTGTCCTTGCTGTGCATTTCCTTGTATCTCTGCATCTCCCTGTTCGGGCATCCCGGGAGCTCACACCTTTCTAGACCCAGGCTTTGTTTCTCGTCTCATTTCATGACACTGGTGCTTCTGTTCACCTGTGTCCTAGTGGTTAGAAGTACAAACGTTCTTGGGCTCAAATAGCTTCTTTTCCTATATCTATTCTGTGGCCACATCCTGTCACTCACTTCCTGGAGAGCTTTACCTGTCTATTCTTTCAACTGAAATCAAATTGTCTTAGTTCAGAAACTTACAAAGTGGCCCAGTAGCCTTCCAGGGATGCAAAGTCTCTAGTCTGTGTAGCACGAATCTTAAAAGGTTCTTATTAATAAAATCAAACCCGGAGCCAGGTATTGGGTTAAAGGTGGACAAAGAACAAGAGAAAGAACAAGAAGCAGCAGAATAAGCCAAAGCTTCCTCACCTTGCCGATTCCTCATCTGATCCTGTTTCCTCAGACTGGAAGCCTCTGAGTCCTCATCCAAATGGATCTCAGTTGAACTGCTGCTCAGAAGCCTAAAAGCTTAACCAGGCTAGTTCCTGGTTTTCATGCCTTATATACCTTTCTGCTTTCTGCCATTACTTCCTGGGATTAAAGGCGTGAGTCACCATTCTTGGCTGTTTCCAGTATGGCTTTGAACTTACAGAGATCTGGATGGATCTCTGCCTTCAGAAGGCTAGGATTAAAGGCAAGTGTGCCACCATTTTCTGGCCTCTATATCTAGTGGCTGTTCTGTTCTCTGACCCCAGATAAGTTTATTAGGGTGCACAATATTTTGGGGAACACAATATCACCACAAGTCTGACTTCAGACTACTTTGTACACAGTTACATTATTATTTTCTTAGAGGTCAGATTGGCTCACCTACTTAGAAGTGGTTATGTATTCTATACTTAGAGGCATGACATGTGGGCCCGGCAGACTTGAACTTAGTCTGTCTTATATATCATTGTTCAGGTTATAGAAAAAATGGAGAAGGAAGTCCAGCATGTTCCAAGTTACTTCTTCTAGTCTTGATTTTTATTCTAGTCTAATTTTTATTCTAGTGCCATTTGCTTTAGCCAAAGCTGTCTCCCCACAAACCAAAGCTTAAACCTTACTGAGACCACCCCCCACTTGGCCTTCCATTGTTGTTGAGTGGAGTCAAGAGACTGTGTGATCACAATGCCTGGGTCCCCTAGGTTATCCTCACCTTTCAGCAGGTCACACAGTCATGCACACAGACTTTCTATTGTTTGACGAAATAGCACCAACTCAGTGGCATGAAGCAATACATGGATTACTGTGGATCAGAAATCTGGGCTCAATAGAGCTAACTCTACTCAATCTAAATAAGCTATGTTCAAGGTATTGTCCATGTTTTGTTCTGTTTTTTAAAAGACTTTTAATTATATGTATGTGTGTGGCTATGAGCATATGAGTGCAGGTACCCACAGGTGCCAGAAGAGGGCATCATCCTTTGGAGCTGGAGTTTCAGGCAGTTATGAATTGCTTTGTGGATACTGGGAACCAAATTTGGGTCTCTTGAAGAGCAGTAAGTACTCTGAACTGGTCAGCCATCTCTCCAGCCCCCATGTTATATTTTTATCTAGGGGTTTGGCTAAGGAAGAATCTCTGTCAAGTTAATTGAGGTTACTGGCTAAGATAATATTCAGTGGTATATATGACTGAGAGTCTTAGGAATTTTCAGGTAATTAATTGGTGCCTTACCTCTGGGCACACATATCATTTGCATTTCCCAGGGGGTACCTGGGCACCTCCCAACATGACCATTTTGTCAATCTCCAGAGCCTCTTACTCCAGTCTGCTAAGATAAATTCTTAAAGACTGTTGTGGAATCAAGAGGAGTGGCATCTGTCACCATTACTGTGCTTTAGTATTGTATTGGTCAGAAGCTTGTTAAAGGCCCTCAAATGCTTTTGGGAAGAGGATTCTACTTCAAAGATGTGAACACCAGTGTTGGAGAATCATCAGGGTTCACTTTAGAGTCTGAGTGCCACTCTGGGAATAAGATAGTATGTTAGGACTAAAACTGCCTTCCTCCTACCTGTTCATCTCGGGGTCAAAGTGGAGCCCCGAGGATACCTATCCCTGCCTGCTCCCAGCACCTGCTGCCTGAGTCTCCCATTGTGTCAGTCTCAAGGAGAAACACAAGATTCTTGGGTATTTCTCCTCTGCTGATGTTTAATCCTCACAGTTCTTTGCATAGCCTTTGTTCTGCCTCTCTGGTATTCTTGTGTCGTTCTTTAAATGTCTGTGTGGGCTACAGAAGTTCCCGCCTGTTTTCAAGGCCTTCATTCTCTTTCGAGTGCCTTTTCTCTTTTGTGCCATGGAAACAACCACACTGTGAGGATAATGTGTTATCCTCTGGGCATGTTTGGCAAATGCCTTACACTAGATAATTTATAGACAACGGAAATTGATGGCTCACAGTTCTGGGGGCTGGAAATTCCAAGGTGCAGATCCAGGCAGATTCAGTATCTGAAGAGGGCCCCTCTCCTGGTGCCTGTGTGGCATCTCTTGCTCTGTCCTCATGTGGTAGTCACTAGCTGGTTCCTAACATGCACATTTACAGTTTTTGTGTGTACATTTATTTGGTACTAGGAACTGAGTGTAGGCCTTGCACAGGCTAGCCAGGCACTCTACCATTGAGTGATAGCCGAGCTCCGTGAAAGTTTTGTTGTTTTCGTTTTTTCCGAGACAGGGTCTCAGTAGCTCTGGCTCTACTGGAACTCACTATGTGGACCATGCTGGCCTCGAACTGAGAGATCTTGTCTGCCTCTACCTTCTGAGTGCTGGGGTTAAAGGTGTGATCCACTACACCCAGCTCATAATAGGATTGTTTTTAATGGCAAATAAAATGTGGTTTATTCTAAGCCAAATAATAAATGACTATGGCCTGGAAACATAAATTCAAAGCACCCCAAATAACATGTTATATATGCAGGAGGTTATGTGAACTTTTACAGTCATAGGCCTGAGAAAGTTATAAAGCAACTGTTGCTAATATTCCTTCCCTAAGGGGGATGTGAACATTTACCCGCTCCTAAGGTCCTAGTGAGGAACCAAAGTACAATTCCATCACCAGTCACCTAGGAGAGACAGTAAGTTTAGTGGGCTTTCTTACAGAGCGTAGGTGAGGGATGATGGACAGGAGGAGCCTGAGCGGCCCCAAGGCAGTTGCACTGGTAAGTCTTGAGCCAGCACGGATGATAGCTTCCATGGCCCTCTTCCTCCATCTTCCCAGCGTGTATACCCCACCACCTCCCCAAGACTCCACTGCCACATGCAGTTGGAGCAGAATTGCACACAGGTGACTGGGGGGAATGGCTGGACTATAGGGCAGACCTAATGACCTTCTCATTCCCTTCTGTGAGGGAATGTCAGCAGTCCACAGGACTGGTTGTGATGGACGGTCCCATGCAGACAGTGGCAGTGTTGCTGAGAAGCTAGCCCCTTACAATAATGTATTTATACCAAATAGGTAGACATCAGGAGGGCTATGGACTCTTCTGCAGGATTCGGGTTCTACCAGACTGCACCTTAGCTCTAGGATTGCTTCTCTGTGACTGGAGCTCATGTGTCTGTGACTACTGTCTCCTGTCTTTCAGTCACTTCTCTTGCTGGCACAGGCCTCTAGGACCTCCAGTACGTCAGTCCTACTGTTCACTTTCTGGTTTTCCATCACTCCGTGTTCTCTCCTCTCATTATAGTCTATATTGTCTTGAGGCTACATTCAAGGGAGCGGTTAGAAACTGTCTCCCCATTTCCCTCACTTTGATAGAAACATTTGCTCACCATCTATTTCTATTGCTTTTCAGTCTGTTTTCAACTCAGTACCCAGAGTGATCCCTTGAGAAAAAGCGAGTTCCAGGACAGGCTCCAAAGCTACACAGAGAACTCTGTCTCAAAAAACAAAACAAAACAAAAAAAAGGAGTTGATCCCATCAGTCTCCTGCTCGGGAACTCTCACTAGCTTTACTTTTTTTTTTTTATTTTTATTTATTTATTTATTTGTGTGTGTGTGTGTGTGTGTGTGTGTGTGTGTGTGTGTGTGTGTCAGTGTGTCATGCACACACATGCGTGCCTGTGGAGGCCAGGAGAGAGGGTGTCAGGTCCCTGGAGCTGGAGTTGCAGGCACATGAGTGCTGGGAGCTGAACCACTGTCCTCTGCACTGGTAAGCATCTCGCCAACCCTGCTTCGCTTCTGGTTTTCTTAACTTTTAGTTATTTATTCTTCTCTCAAATGTTACATCCCCACCACGGTTTACTGTAGCTGAAGTTTTCCTGTGTCCTGGTGCCGGCAGTTGGGACAAATCTCTCCTACTAGAGGCCCCCAAGTAAACACAGAGACTTATATCACTTACAAACTGGATGGCCGTGGCAGGCTTCTTACTATCTGTTCTTATAGCTTAAATTAACCCATTTCTATTAATCTATACCTCGCCACTTGTCTCGTGGCTTACGGTAACTTACATCTTGCTACTCATCACAGCAGCTGGCAGCGTCTCCTCACTCCACCTTCTTCTACCCAGCATTCTCCTCCCTGCTTGTCCCGCCTACACTATCCTTCCTGCCTGGCTACTGGCCAATCAGCGTTTTATTTATCAATCAATCATAGCAACATATATTCACAGTATACAGGACATCCCACAGCAGTTTACCCTCCCTTCTCCCCTCCCAGTCCCTCACCCTCACCTCCTCCCTTCCCCCCAGATCTCTTCCTCCTCTGTTTCCCTTCAGAAAAGGGCATGCATCCCAGGGATATCAACCAAACATGGTATATCAAGTTGCAATAAGAATGGGCACATCCCCTCATATTAAGAATGGACAAAACACCCAGTAGGAGGAAAGGATCCTGAAAGCAGGTAGCAGGGTCAGAGATAGCCCCTGCTCCCACTGTTAGGAGTCCCACAGGAGGACCAAGCTAACAATCATAACATATATGTAGAGGGCCTAGGTCAGTCCCATGCAGGTTCTCTGGCGATTCAGTCTCTATGAGACCAGGTTAGTTGATTTTGTTCTACAATCCTTCCCCGGCTCTTCTGCAGGATTCCCTGAGCTACACCTAATGTTTGGCATCTGTTCCCATCAGTTGCTGGGTGAAGCCTCTCTGCTGACGATTATGCCAGGCTTCTGTCTATGAATATAGGAAAGTATCAATAGGAATTAGTCATTATATTTAGTCAATTTCATTGACTTTTTCCCGCTTGTGTTTGCTTCTATTCAGGTTTCTGGGCTGTCCAGTCTCTGTTCCTGGCCCTCCAGGCAGTGTCAGGCCTGTGGGCATCGTCTCTTAGCATGAGTCTCAAGTAGTACCAGCCATTTGTTTTTGTAGAACAGTGTTAGGTTCACAGAGGAAGGGGCCAAGATTCCCACCGACTCCTGTCCACACAGACATGGTCTACTGATCCACTTACCCCTAGATTGACACAGTTGGTCACAGTGACTGAGCCTGTCCTGACACATGTAACTCTGGCTGGGTATGTACATGCCGTGGTTTGAGTAACTGTCCTGACCTGGGCCGTCATTGTAATTGTAGCGGAGCTTCACTGCCCTGACCCGCCCCGTCCTTGCTCCTCCCAGTTCCGGCCTCAGCAGCAACCACTGGTGTTTCAGTTTTCGCTTTTCTTTGTTTACCTTTGTGTAGCTTTGCCTGTCCCACCGGTCACCACACCACTGGGACTGTGCATTACGCAGCCTTCTCATATCGGCTTCTTCACCAGGTGTGAGTTTAAGGATCCTCCGTGTCTTCATAGTTCGATGGTTCGTTTCTTTTTGACACTGCATACTGTTTTATTCTGGGTCTACTCGGTGTGTGGATCCATCACCTGCTGAAGAAAGAGTGCTTACTTCCAAGGCCCTACTGGGATGAATAAAAGTGCTATAAATATCTGTGTAGATTTTACCATGAGCATAAAGTTTTCAGCTCATTTAGGTAAACACTAAGGGATGTGATTGCTAGATCATCCAGTAACTGTATGTTTAATTTTTAATGTATATATTTAAAGTTTACAAAATGATTTAATGAAATATATATGGATGGTGAAATAGTAAAGCAAATTAACCATCTGTTCATATAATTACTCTTCTTTTTGTGTAGCAAAGCAGCTAAAACCTACTCAGCAGGCATTCCACACGCAGCTTGTTTTTACCAGGTCTTCATGCTGTATATCACGACAGTAGACTGTGTGCCTTGTGAATTGACTTCCTGGTATTCTCTGGCCTGCATCTACCCCTTTGCTACCTTAGTCTCCCCGTCTTCTGTAATCACCACTTTGTACTCCCTGTGAACTTTCTCTTTACATTTTATATGTAAATGAGATCATGCAATAGTTTTCTTCCTGTGTCTGGCTTATTTCACTTAGCATAATGTCATGTGGGCTTATTAATATGGCAAGTGGCAAGATTGTGTTGGTTTTTTTTAGAGCTAAATAATTGCAAACTGCCATTTTTTTTTAAATCCATTTATGCTGTTCTATGTGAGCATCAGGGTTTTTCTCCACTTCTATGAAGAATGTCAGTGAATTTTATAGGGCTTACATTGGACTGTGTACTGCTTTGGGTAGGATGGACACTTTAACAATATCATTATGAACCTTGAGTGTGGGCTCATCTTTTCAATTGTGTTTTCTTCCATTTTTTTTATCAGTGTTTTGTAGCATCAGTTTTTTGTCATTATAACACATACCCAAGATGATCACTGTATACTGAGAAAAGCTTTCTTTTGGCTCATAGCTTGGAGGGTCCAGCTGTAGTTGGTTGGCCTGTTGCTTTGGGCCTTGGCAAGGCAGTATATCATGCTGGGGCCTTGGAGTGGAACAAAACCACACAGCTGAGAGGTGACAGGAAGCGGGTTTGTGTCCCATCATCTCCTCCAAGCACCCCTGTCCTCTGCCACAACTGCAAGTAAACTGAATAGTTTCCACGAAGCCGTACCGTCACCTTTCTAATTCAGTTTATTCCTAGATATTTTATTTCTTAATGCTATCCTAAATGGAATCATGGTCTTGGTTTCTTTTCCAGATAGGTTGATGCTCCTGGCTCTGTTGGTACTGTACCCACACCCGCACTGTGTTCCTCTTCTGGTTCTAGTAGTTTTATAGTGGCTTCAGCATACAGATCTTGCTGTCTGTATAAAGGGTAATTTTACGTTTTTTATTTGGATCCATAGTCAGGCGCTCCCCCCCCCCATATCTAATGGCTCTTATTGTTCTTCTAGTGCTGAAGAGAAGCAGCAGGAGTTAGGCCCCCTTGTCCTGTGCTTTCCCCATGGATGCTGTGGAGATTTTGCAAACAGTCTTGTGTATGGTGAAGGAGTTTCCTTCAGCATGAACTATGGAGAGGTTTTGCTAAAAAGTATGGTAGAGTTTGTCAACAGTTTTTGTTTTCTGTGTCAACTGAGATGGTCACGTGGGTTCCTGTTCTGTTGACACAATGTGTCATGTTGACTATTTTATGTAGTGAATCAGCCTTAATGGGTCAAGGATAAATCCCATTTGGTCATGAGGTGTAATTTTGGAAAACATGTTGTTGAACTTTGCTAGTGTCTTGTTGAGGGTTTTGCATAAATTCTCCTTAGATAGCTTGGCCTGTAGTTTGGTTCTCTTTAGGGTTGTTTTTTTTATTATTAAGATTTGTGTGTGTGGTGTGTGTGTGTTGTCTGAGTGCTGTCCATGTGTTGTGTTGTATAGTATGTGTGTTGTATTGTGTGAGTATTTGTGTGTATGTGGTGTGTGTTTTGTGTGTATTGCGTGTGTGGTATGTGTGGGAATATGTGGGGTGTAGGGTGTATGTGTGGGCTGTGTATGGTGTGTGTTGTCTGTGTACGTGGTGTGTTATGTGTGTTGTCTGTGTCTTGTGTGTGTGGTATTATGTGAGTGGTTGTGTATATGTGTTTTGTGTTGTGTGTGTGTTGTCTGTGTGGTTTTGTGTTTTGTGTGTGTTGTGTATGTTGTTTATGTGTGTGGTGATTTGTGTGAGTGGTGTGTGTAGTATATGTGTGGTGTTTTATGTGAGCGTGTGTTGTGTGGTTTGTGTGGTATGTTGTGTGTGTTATCTGTGTGTGTTGTGTGTGTATGTGTGTGGTATGTTGTATGTGTGTTGTGTATGTGCATGTTTATGTGTGTATCTGTGGTGTGTGTGGTGTGGTGGAGGTGTATGGGGTGTATGGTGTGTGTGTGTATGGTGTGTGTGCATGTGTGTTTACATGTGAGTGCAGTGCCCTTGGAAGAGAAGAAGCATCTGCTTCCCTGGAGCTGCTGTTGAGGTAATTGTCAGCAGCTAAGCATGTGCTGGCCACTGAGTTCTGGTTCTTTACAAGAATGGAACGAGCTTGTCCTGGTTAGTTTTTTGTCACCTTGACACAAGCTGGAGTTATCTGCAAAGAGAGAACACAATTGAGAAAACGCCTGTATAACACTGGCCTGTAAGCAAGTCTGTGGGGCATTTTCTTAATTAGTGAGTGATGTGGGGGGTTGGGCCTACTGTGGGTGAGACCACCCAGGGCAGCAGCTGGTCCTGGGCTGTGTAAGAAAGCAGGCTGAGCAAGCCTGGGGAGCGAGCCGGTAAGCAGCACCCCTCCACGGCCTCTGCATCAGCTCCTGCCCTGGCTTCCCTGGAAGCTGAAATAAACCCTCTCCCCTGCAGGTTTCTCTGGTCGCGTGTTTTCTCCCTGCAGTAGAACTACGACTGAGCTCTTGACCACTGATCCCCGGCTCCTGTTCCTGCTTTTCTTTTCTTAAGGTGTCTTGGGTGTCAAAGTACCAATTAGCTTCATACAATGTGTGTAAATATTCCCTGTAGCTCAATTTCGGGAAATGTCAAGGAATACTGACAGTCTGGGCCGGTGGCCCACTCTGGGGGAGGCACAGGGTCGGCCTGGGAAATAGAGAGACTTTGTCTCAAAACAAACCAACCACCAAGGAAGAGAAAGCCTGTAACTCTTGAGTGCTTGGTGACTCAGGTGTGGGATTCTTCGTCCTTTGCTGCTCCTTGCTGGAAAGTTCTGGATGATTTCTCCATCTTTATCATCATCTGTTGAAGCTTTCTATTTCTTGCTGCCTCAGTCTTGTGTGTTCTGTGGATCTAGGTGTTTGTCCCTTTCCTCTAGGTTAGCCAATGTCGGTGGAGTAGAGTTGTTTATAGGAATGTCCTATGATTCTCTTAATTTTTCTGGCATCTGGTAATTTCCTTTTATTTTTAAAGTTCTGAGTCATCTCTGTTGTTAGGCCATCTAAAGATGACAAACTATGTATTTCCATGGCTTAATTAATTACATCTATAGTTTCCATATGAATGTGCAGTTTTTCTATTGCGTTTACTTCTGTTCTGGGGTTCCTTGCTTCCTTTTGCCCATTTTGAGCTTAGTTGTAAAAGGATAGCTTCCTGATGAACCTCGGGCTATTCTGCAATCCGTCCTGTGTGTAGGAGTCCTTCCTCACCTCCCAGGTATGCTGACAGCTCTTGAAGATGCTGCTTCCTGAACTAAGTATCAGTGAGCCTGGGGGAAGGGTTCGTGTTGCCAGTAATGTTGTGTGTGTGTGTGTGTGTGTGTGTGTATTATGCAGACATATTTCTAGTGTGTCTATGTAGAGGAACTTACATGGAAGAAATAGAGCCTGTCACAGGGACTTGCTTCTGCTCAGCTGCCTGGACAAGCTACCCTCTTGCCTCTGGTACCCAGTGAGGATGCTAGGATGCTAGTCATCTTGAGAGTAATGTGCCGTTATAGTCCGTTCACCTGCTGACTGGAGTTTTTGTTTTCTTTAATCTTGCTGTGGTTTAATTGCTTTTGAGTCCCCTCTTGAGTAGTCCAGCATCAAGGCACTTACAGTGCTTAGCTACCCTGGGCACGGTCATTCTTGTCGTCACCAGTGGTGCAAGAGAGTGTCCTCTTTCTTTTCAGTCACAGTCCAGCAGCTGAGGACTCCCTGTTGTGTTCAGCTACTGTGGGGCTTGGCTCTTGGGATTGCTAGTCCTTTGAACTGACTGGCATTGGCTTCTTTAGTAGCTGGCTCGTTTGAGTTCTCATCTTGCAGGACAGCAGCAGTGGATGATGTTCTTTCATTAGGCCTTTGAACCATTTTGAAAATTTCTTTGTTTTACTTGGTGTATTTAAGCCATTGCATTCAAAGAAATGATGTATTGGGTTGATGTCTCCTCTATTTATGCTGATTCCTATTTGTCTTCCATTTTGGTCTGTGGTTCTTGGTATTTTTAATTAAGCATCTTGTATAAACCTATTTGTCTCTTCTTTCTTAACAAATCAGTTATGTTTCTTGTTTTTAACTTCTTAGAGTTTGGAAATCCACTTAAATCCAAATGCACACAAAATAACTTTCTCTTCATGGGCAGTGGAAATACCTTATAATAACAGGATCAATAGTTCCCCCTTTGGTCTGTGCATTATTTCTGTGATTCATCCCACTAATGTATTTGTGTATATAAACATTCAGGAGGTGTATACATATGACCCCATACTCGGAGTATATAAACACATAGACATGCATGAGGTGTATACATATGACCCCATACTCAGAGTATATAAACACATAGACATGCATGAGTTGTATACATATGACCCCATACTCAGAGTATATAAACACATAGACATTCAGGAGGTGTATACATATGACCCCATACTCAGAGTATATAAACACATA